ATCATAAATATCGGGACACGGGTTTACCTACACTACCGCATGTAAACATTGAGTGTACATTAACCACTCACCGAAATAATGTTAGAACACACTTCGGTGACCGCCCATGTGTCAGAGACGCACAGGGGCACTCTCAGGGCCCCCACCCCCCGATTAGACTACCATCTTTGGCGCGGCGTACGACCCCTGGCTCCTTAAAAGTAATAGGCGCCATCGTACCAAATAGTATCCTGTTAATAATGATGCAGATTTCATCATTCGCTAAAGTGCCACAAATGAGCAGGTTTTTTTTCTTTAACATGTAAAAAAGTATTTGACATGTTTTAAACATCAGTGTGACTGATGCGAAATGCTAGCGTTACTAATGGTCTATTATTAGATGCTCAATCTCAATTTCTGGCTGGATTGTCTAATAATAGATGCTTATTGCATCATTCGCAAAGTGACGAAACTCTACAGTAGGCTCCTCATATTCAAAAAGTTATTTTTTCATCTTTGGCAAGGTGACGAAACTGTACAGAAGGATTTCCTCGCGTTACAAAGTTATTTTTAGAAGCCTGTTGTAGTTTTACCGCTGAATATAGTAGTACTCCTTACTCGCTATGCAGGACGCTCGATTAACGGATGCTAAGTGCCAACATAGTCGCTCTAAAACTCTGGGCGCCAAACCGTGTATTGACGAAAGTTGTACCGTATATGGCGCGGCCCATAAGAAACTTTAGTTTTCTTTTTCGCAGAAATATTCTCGGGAGTATTCTCATCTACTCCCTAAAGTTTCATGGCACTCGGATGAACCGCATCCGAGTTTTATTTTTTATAAACCGTGTATAGAGAAAAAAAATATCGCTCCCCCCACCCCGGGGGCGCCGCCCTTGCAATATTAAACAATATTTTTTTGCAGAACCCTACGATTGAGTGATCTAATCATCTCCCCAAAGTTTCATGGTACACGGATGAACGGTGTGAAACCGAAATAGACTTTTATTTTTATAAACCGTATATAGAGAAAAAATCGCAGCCTCCCGTTGCGCCGCCTTTGCGAAATTTAAAAAGGATTTTTTTTTACAGACCCCTTCCTGAATTGTTCTAATCAACTCCCCCAAAGTCTCATGGCTATCGGATAACAGTGTCACACGAAAATCGACTTTTATTTTTATATACTGTATATAGAGAAAAATCGCACCCTCCCGTGGCGCCGCCCTTGAGAAATTAAAAATGATTTTTTACAGAACCCTTTCCTAGAGTTTTATAATGAGCTCCCCAAAGTTTCATGGCTATCGGATGAACGGTGTCACTGCGATTCACTTTTATTATTTTTATATACCGTATATAGAGAAAAATCGCACCCGCCCGTGGCGCCGCCCTTGGGAAATTAAAAATGATTTTTTACAGAACACTTCCCTAGAGTGTAATAATGAACTCCCCAAAGTCTCATGGCTATCGGATGAACGGTGTCACTGCAATTCACTTTTATTATTTTTATATACCGTATATAGAGAAAAATCGGACCCTCCCGTGGCACCGCCCTTGCGAAATTAAAAATGATTTTTTTACAGAACCCTTCCCTAGAGTGGTATAATGAACTCCCTAAAGTCTCATGACTATCGGATGAACAATGCTAAAGCAAAATCGACTTTTATTTTATATACCGTATATAGAAAAAAGCAAATCGCGCCCTGTCGGGGCGCCACCCCTGCGAATTTGAAATATTTTTTTCGCAGAAACCTCCCCAGGAATATTCTCAACAACTTCCCAAAGTTTCACGGCGATGTGATAAGAGGTGTGGTAATGCATAAAAGACACACAGACACACACACATACATTGCTTTTTATATAGATAGATAGATAGAAGATATAGGCCTATATATATAAATATATATTTATATACATAGAGAGATGAATGAAGACAAGTGGAAATATAATTAGCCTAGGTAAAATTAATCTAATCAATAAGAATAATCAAAAAATAATTATACTATGTGAAATTTGAAAGCATGATAAATAATTGAATAAATACAGTAATTAATAAGTATGCTAATACCATGTGAAGTTGTAGTAGGCCAACTCTTAATAATTTCCAGTGATCAACAAAAATTTGGGGAGTTGGGGGCTTTTAGGGTCATAACAAATATCTATTATCCCTTAGCCTGTTTGAAATATCAATAAAAGCTAATTAGCCCAATTACGTGAAAAAATAGACAAATAAGTAGTGCCCATTAAAATAAAAACAGATTAGTAGCCTAGCGACATAATGTACTACTGTACAGCCTCTTTCTCAATAATGATGTCAAAAAATAAATGTTTTGATGACTTTCTTATGGTTCTGATTTAACCTTGGCTTAACAAGTAAATTCAATTTCTTTTTTTATAAATAGTTAAATCTAAAAATGGCACAAAATTGACTCTAAGTTAGTATTTAAAATTGTTAGCTTCTCTACAATTGTTAGCTTCTCTACGGACCAGGGGCCAAATAGTCATGGCCGATATTAGGACCCTGGGCCTTATAGCCTCTGCCGCGTTTTTGGATCAGGCAATAAATTTTAGATTTAGTTACACAATAATAGTTTTAAGATGTAGAATATGTTTTCTGTTGTTGTGATTTTTTTCCCTTGTAATTCCATATGATATCAATCAAAAGATCTTGCTTTAAATACCCGATATCATTCGTGACAAAAGTCACAGTAAGCGGGAGTCGTTAAGTCTATTATATATGGCCCGTGGTATGACCGAGCGAATGTAAAAAAGTGCTTTATTATTGTTTTTCTCTTTTTTACAAACATAATTTGATTTTATCAGTCCAAAATTTTTAAAAATATAATTGTATAAAATATCTCGAATGTGCTTGCTAGAAGGCTAAAATAGAAGCTTATGTAAATTGTAACATATGAACTCACAATGACCCTAAATAATATTTAAACTAAAAAAACTCACAGTGACCCTAGACAGTGTCAGTATTTTTCGCAAGCTGACAAAAAAATGTTAGCCGGGGATCATAGGAGCAACGACAATTAGAATTAGCATATTTAAAAATCTAATTCTAGAAAATATATAGAATCTATATGAAACAATTTTTAAAAAAATAAGCATGCAACACTCTTGTCAAATCGACAAGCTTAGCTAAATACTTCTCTTTCTCAAAACTGACTGCTTTTCCAGGAACAAACGAAAGTGATTCAGTTAGTTTCTGAAAGGGAACTTTGGGAGGCCTGATGTTCTCTACTCTGCCTCGACATGTTTAATTATTAACACACACACTTTGATTATTATATATAGACTAACGTACCCGACCCCCGGGCATTGCCGCGGGGATAGAAGAAAGTTTGACGAAATATATTAGGATTTCAAAAATGCGTTATCAATTATAATTATATGTTCTTAGACGCGTGACCTTCTTTTCTAAAAATGCATTATTTAAATGTAAGCAATGCTTGTTCTTGGATCATAAATATCAGGACACGGGTTTACCTACACTACCGCATGAAAACCTTGAGTGTACATTAATCACTCACCGAAATAATATGGTAGAACACACTTCGGTGACCGCCTCTGTGTCAGAGACGTAGAGGGGCGCTCTCAGGGCCCCCACCCCCCGATTACACAACCGCATAGGCGCGGCGTACGACCTCTGGCTCCTTAAAACTAACAGGCGCCATCGGCCAAATAGCATCCTGTTAATAATGATGCAGATTTCGTCATTCGCTAAAGTGACACAAATGAACAGGATTTTTTTCTTTAACACGTAAAAAAAATATTTGACGTGTTTTAAATATCAGTGTGACTGATGCAATATGCTAGCGTTACTAATGGTCTATTATTAGATGCTCGATCTCAATTTCTGACTGGATTGTCTAATAATAGATGCTTATTACATCATTCGCAAAGTGACGAAACTTTACAGTAGGCTCCTCATATTCAAAAAGTTATTTTTTCATCTTTGGCAAGGTGATGAAACTGCACAGAAGTATTTCCTCGCGTTACAAAGTTATTTTTTAGAAGCCTGTTGTAGTTTTACCGCTGAATATAGCGGGGAGGGGGACATATGTCCTCGGGCGCCGACCTGGGGGGGGGGGGGGCAAATTGAAAGTTTGAGGGGGGGTGCAAATGAAAAGTTCGAGTGGGGGGTGCAAATCGAAAGTTTGTCCCCGGGCGCCGGGAAGGGTCGCTACGCCTCTGTTATAGACATGGATCTCTAAAAAATATAGGTTGGTTTTTTCGGAATATTAGTTTTAACACTAAGAGGATTTGAACAGAAAGGCACTAACTTAAATGGTTATTTCTAGATAAAATAAATTACATTGTGCAAAACTTTGAAATGCTTGCTTAACTTAGGTAGTTATTATTGTCTATTTTCTCTACACATCATTTATGTGAGAGTAGAAACTTTTTGTATTTACCACTTTCATTTAATAACATCCCCTTTTAATTTTATTAAAAGCTTTTATTTGACACAAAAGTATGTGTGTGTGTGGCTCCACAAATCTTGGAATATCAATTCAACTAACAACCTACCTCCCATTGTCTAATTGAGATGAAATATGGCACAGTGGTAGACCTTGAATGTCAATTAGATAATCATTCTAATTCATTACAATTTAATTTAAAAATGTAAAAATTATTATATTTACAATAGTAGTTGATTAGTAGGCTATATTCCACAAATCTTGGAATCTTAATTTAAACCACTTCACATTGTAATAAAGCCAGGACTAACTTATGGAGAATATATTTCCTTTCATAGGTTTATATTCTATATAACATAAGAACTATGTTCACTTTTTATCTGTGACTGCCCAGAAATTTTAATCATACCAGCAAATAGCATAACTAAATTTATTTTTTACTTTCTAGTGAGTTTTTCATTTGTGATTTTTCTTATTTGTGAGATTTTTTAATTATAGTTAATTTTAATATTTAAATTGCAATTTATTTTTTATACGATAATAATACATGGTAATGGTATTGATTTTGAGGAATTTTAAGTTGCTGAAAATGTGTTACAGATTGGACAGGAGAAGAAGAGGCTCCAGATGACATAAATGTATGGGAAGATAATTGGGATGATGATAACATAGACGATGACTTTTCCAAGCAGCTAAGGTGAATGATTTTCAAAGTAGGCCTTTTGATTATAGAGTTTTCTGGATACAACTAAAGAAAAACTAACTACACTATTTCTTTACCATGTCGTAAAGTAAAGTAAAGTTTCCCTTTCAAACCTGACGGTCTATGGGGCAAGTGAAGTAGAGTTCACTTGTTTCTGTGACCTCAGCATATGAAGAGATAGTGTGGTCAGCACTATGCCCAGCCGCCTTTACTTTCCCTAACGTGAGTTAGGTACCCATCAGAGTTGGGTGGACTCAGGGACGGTCTACTGACTTGAACCCGGATTCGAACTCGAGACTTACGGGTTAGCAGCCCAGCTCTCTACCGCTAGACCACTCCGTCCCATGATGTCAAAAAGTAAAATATGCATTTTGAAGAACGTAACTAATTTTTCTATTTCTATAATAATCACTGTAAACAAATAATTTTTCCAATTTCAGGTCTGAGCTTGAAAAGCAAGGTAAAAACATGGAAGGAACTGAACCCATGAAATGATGAACTCTTTTTTGTGTGTTAAATTCTTGTCTGAATTATATAAATGACTATATTCTAAGTTGTTTTTTTTCCCCTCCTTTTACTAGTTACAGGATAACTAGGCCTTCTTTACTTAAAATAAGAAATATGTATGTAGATATAGACCATTATTTAAAAATTCTTTTAATATTTAAAACACCCAAGAGTAAGCTGATACTGATAGTGAAAAAAATGTTTGTATTTGATATTTGGTACATTGCTCATTGCTACATAATATTTAATAAGCAAAAGAACTTCAGTTGAATAAGCATGTTTTGTCTTTAAAAAAATTATCCTGCATGGTGTATAAAGTGTACACTGGAGGATTACACATCCTTTTACAAGTACATCAAATAGAAAAAAAAATTAATTAGAAAATAATTCAACAAGGGTTCATTTTAGCACAACAAATAGTAATACAATGGGGTACAATGCTTAGAACGAAATTCCAAAATGCAAGAAAACAAAGGGTATCTTTCAGTTTTACTTAGAAGTTTTGCATTGAACAAATTTACTAAATTCACAATATAATGGTTTTTAACTTTTCTTGACACACTTTAAAGGGGTTTTTATCTATATTTTATATCTGTAAAGTTATAACTTATTTGACACAAACTCTGTCTTTTGAATTCAACACGAACAGAGAAAATGTAGGTTTACTCTTACATCGAAAATTAATACATTATTTTAATTTGTTGCAATGAAATTCGCTTTCCTCAATTTTTTAAGAAAATTACAAAGAATTTTTTTTTTAAATACCGACAAAAACAAACATGAAATTTTTAATAAAAATGTAGGGGAAAGTTGTTTTTTTTTTTTAATTAATAAAATATGTTTAATCTGAAAAGTACAGGGGTTCACCACCAGTCAGAACTCATTTTGTTTTAACAAGATGTTACTTTACAACCTCAGTTTGTGGTAAATCTTGTAACTCGATTTTGACCCTTTTCTTATGCAATGATTTCGCTCTAACTAGTCTAAATCTTCAGATACCTTCTCCTATGACAATGCAATAATATCTTATTTTTAATCTAATTAGAAAATGGAAATTTAATTAAATGATTTCCAAACTTATGGGGGATAATAAGATGAAGTACTAGTGATTGCTGGATCATTCTGCTGTCGGCGGTCAACTGTTTTTCACGAACTGTTACTTTCATGCCCTTGAGCAGCCACTGTGTTGAGATTGCGCTCAACTGATCATGTTTTAAAGTAGGTAGTCCAAACTGAAATTAACTATTGATTGCAGACTTCTGGAGTGAACTTTTAATTTTAAGCTCTATCCCACAAATTTTATGAAAATATCTCAATAAATAAAAAAGTTATGCGATTTTTAAAAAAGCAAAATTTGGTAAAAAACTGATTTTCAAAAAGTGCCATTTTTGAGAACCCATATTTTCTAAACTAAATAACATAGAAGTGTACAAATTGGTAAAGTTACTGCAAAGTTTGTAATATATATGCCCAATTTTTTCAGTCATCTAAGGTAAAAAAAAAATTGAAAATGACAAAAATGCGTTTTGATCACTTTTATTTTCATTAAAAAAAAAATCATTTTTTTTGTTGTTGCTTTGGACATAGAATAACTCTAAAGCTATTGTGTTGGTAATATTAACAGGAAGAATATGCTCATTATTTTCAAAAATCACATGAGTTAAAATATTATTTTAAAAAATGCCACGGTTATCTAGTGTAGGAGCAACAGAATCAAAATTTAATGGAGTAATGTAATGTAATCTAATAAAGACGTGATTTCTACAAGTGATGCAGCAGTTGATTCTACATTTAAACCTATCTGGTTGATAACTGCTTTGGGGGAACAGTTTATAAAACGACAACTCCACATCTTTGTACGTCTTGTTTCCCTCAACCTTGATCTTGTAGAGCAGGGGTCTCCAAACTACGGCCCGCGGGCCGGATGCGGCCCGAGAGGTCCTCTCATCCGGCCCGCGGAGAGCTTTTTGTCCACGGAAAAAAACGTTTGTTGGTGATGGCTGAGGAACTTTTCCCAGAAAAATCAAAGACATTTCTGGAACTAACTGGCCCCCGAACTGAAATTTGATAGTTAATGTGGCCCTCGGACTGAAAAGTTTGGAGACCCCTGTTGTAGAGCATCAAGAGTAAGCAATAAGTTTTGGGAACTGTAGGGGGGGGGCTAGGCCTTCTTCCCTTCCATTGTAAGGAAAGTTCTTGATAGGCCACCATAAATGTCTCCAGCTATGGAATAAATAATTGATTTAGTGATTAATAAAATATAATTAAATTTACTACTAGCCTATTTGTAGGCCTACTATTTGTACTATGACTGTAACTGGAAACATATGAAAAAGCCTGAAAACACCTTTTTGTTAAAAGTAATGTATACTTGATAGTATATTTTTAATAGTAATTCTACTGAATGAAATATTCGTTGCTTGTGCCACACTGGTTGAGTTATCCAATGATGAAGAAGATGTCATACTGTGGTTCTCAACATCCTATAGGACAACTTAACTTCCTTCATTGTTACTATATGCATATAAAATAAATAATGAGAAATACTACTAGTCAGAGGCGTATCCAGGTTTTCGTTGTAGGGGGAGCGAAAAGAGCAAAAAAAAAGGCGCCGAATTTTTAGCACGTTCTATATACGTGTATAATATATATATATATATATATATATATATATATATATATATATATATATATATATATATATATATATATATATATATAATTACTAGCTGTATGTCATTACTTCGCTATGATGTAAAATAAATTGAAAGTAGCACTCTGAAGAAATAAGAAAAAAACACACAATGTAGGCCGACAAAACAAAAATTATATCAATCTAAACAAAACAAAATATATATAAACACACTACAACCAAAAACAATGAACGTAACACAATCTGTTTTGTAATTCTTGTAAAAAAAATTTCTTACATAATAATTCCTGGGAAATTATTTAAGACAAGTGAAATAGGGGAAATAATCACTCTCTTAATATAAATATGTATATATCTACACATTTAATTATAAATGTCAAAATAAATAAATAATTACTTTAGAATATAATGAAATTGTTTAACACTATTCATGTTTACAAAATGTTTGTCTATAATCAGAATTTAATATATCGTAATCATAAATGCTAAAGTATTACAGCATAATGAAAGTTTTTAAAATCTGAGTTGGTATAAAATCACGATTTTCGATACAACAGAAAAACATTCGGAATAACAGCCTACATTTAACTAAATATCGGTCTTATAGTTCAGATCATATATTTAATTAACTACTGTTTCGTTGTGTTCTTTGAAGATTATTTTATAACATAGTGATAGTAGTTATGGGTTGGATCACTGTATTGATCACACACCTTTTTACTGGTAATTACAAAAACAATATTCACAGAGTTTTACGTTTAAACAAGTTAATTAAAAAAGTCTAGTGACATGTATGCGCAATTTCCGTATGTTATCTAAAAATAGCTCTGACGTATAATGCTGGGGTGCGTTCAAGCTAGAAGAACGATCGGTTTGTAGGTGTTTATGTAATTTTAAAATTTGTGACCGAACGAGAGGATATTTTTGAAAACTTTCTTCGGCAATATTGTTCTAAATTATGGCAGGAATCGATTGGTACATGTTTCAAGTCGCCAAGTGGTCTGGTTGCCGAGATATTGGCCAAAAACGGCATTTTTTCGAGGTTTTTTGGCTTTTCCTGGAAATCCATGAAAGAAACCCGGAATTTTTATGGCCTATGTTCATTCTCGTAACTTACTTAACATAATTGCTTTTGGAACTCGTCATCGATATTGCTTCGTTGAGGAGGAGATACGACTTAAAGCCCGGACACACATTCATACATCCATACATTCATCCATCCATTCCCAGAAATGACGAGTTAATAAACGCAATTCTCCAGAATGGAAATTGCGCTAAAAACTAATTTTCTGGCGGCATGTTACATTGGTACATCATTACGCGTTTTTCTACATGTACTTAACAGATCAGTTCGGGTAGGGTTGGGGGGGGGGGGGGTTCAACTTCATTCACCACTGTCGGTTCACTTTAGGTCAATTATCCAACCCAGTGTATACCTAGGTGTGATATTAATGTCGCTCTATACAATTGTGGTGGTGAGGTGTGTGTGGGGTGGGGAGGGGGAGATAACCAACTCAGAGTGAACATAGCGTCAGTTTTTAGATGACTGTTCTAAACATGCATATATTACACAATTATATATTAAACAAATATATATTACAGAAATAGATTTAAATAAGTAGCAGTGGTATTATGACAATATTTTTTTTACAGAAGGGTCCATGGGGGAGGGGGGCTTTTAACTGTTTCAAATAATTTGTAATCGTAATCAACATCGCCCAAACTGTAAGAATACTACTACTTCATCGTGATAACGTTGTTGTTGAACTTGTCAAAATTTCCCCACCACTAAGCAGTTTGCTCATAAGTAAAGTTAAATAGAGGTGCCACATCAGTTGTATTTGTTTCTGTATTGTAATTTTTTCAAAAATTAATCACACGATTCAAATTGTATATATAAAGTATATGTAAAGTAATTATGTGTGAAGTTTTATGTATAACATTTTCTAATTCAATTATTTGTAAGCACATTCATTATACAGTTGCCCTAAACTTAACACCCCTCTTGCCAAGTGGTACTACCGAAGAGGTTTTTTAAACATTGCAATGCATCGTAATGGTTATTTTTAGAATGGCAAACTGATGCAGCTGTTAATACGTGTTGTAAACGTAGACACTACTAGACTAGTACAATAATGCTTAATTGCTGCATGAAAAGAAATCTTGTGATTTACATAGATGTACCGACCAAAAATATTTTTTTAACAAATATCATTGTTTAAATCTTTGCGTTTAAAAAGTTTCCAAAAAGGCGCCACTTTGATGAAAATGGCCAGAGGGGGAGCGGCCGCTCCCCCTGCTCCCCCCCCCCCCCCTGCGTACGCTACTGCTACTAGTACTACTTACACTTACAACTAATATAACATTTAAAACTAAGTCACCACATGTAGAAT